CTTCCTTCCTTCCTGCCTTCCTGCCTTCCTGCCTTCCTGCCTTCCTGTCTTCCTGTCTTCCTGCCTGCCTGCCTGCCTGCCTGCCTGCCTGCCCCAAGAGACAAATACAAATATCCCGTCTCTAATATACCGTCCTATTTGTGCAATGCACTATCCTGAGCAGTTTTCAATGTAGTAAAAAAGACAATAGCAGAAACAACTGGAAGAGGAGTAATTTGCAGGAAAAAGAAAGAAAGTGAGGCATAACATCTTTGAGAAGCAAGGTTTTCAGGAGCCTTTTCAACGTGGAGAGGGAGGGGGCCAGGCACACCTCCACCAGGAGTTGACTCCGAAGGGTTGGCGCCCCTGCAAAAAAGGCCCTGCTTCTCACGGATGATTTCCTGGGGCCTCCTTCGGAGTGGCTACCTGGAGGAACATCACCTGGAATGACCGAAGAGTTGACTGCGAAGGGTTGGCACCACTGCAAAGAAGGCCCTGCTTCTCACAGATGATTTCCTGGGGCCTCCTTCCGAGTGGCTACCTGGAGGAACATCACCTGGAATGACCGAATGGGGCAGGGAGATCACCTCGGGGAAAGAGGCTTCGGCAAGCCGTGTGAGGCAACAGGTCCTGATAGGCACTCAAGTCACCTCTGAGTTATGGCAGCCCCATGCACAAGCAATATCCAAAATCTCCTGTCCTCAGCCGTCCCACTCATCTCCTGAAAACTTCTAAACTACTCCTACAGGTGGCAAAAAAGTTACTTTTGGGGAATACGGTTCTCATACTCCCTTGGTAGGTTCTAGGAGTTCAGATCTTTCCCCCCCCCAAAAAAGTTCCATTTCTACATTTTTCCCTCCCTTTTCTGGCTCCCTTTCCTAACATTTCCTGGGTGTCTCCACAGGGTGAAACGTATTAGATCACAACTCTATTTTTTTTGCAGCAGGAGACCAACATCCATTTTCTGAATTTTTCTTTTAAAAAGCACAACAACCCCTATATTCTACTGCAGAGTGCCACGGATACTGATGATCCGGCAGATATTTTTTTCCTCTGAGCCTGGACATCTTCCTGTTTTTAGAAGATGTGCTGCTACTGCTAAGCATTGGTAGAGGTTTGCAGCATAGAGAAGTTCCTTTCTCCCCTCCCCCCGGACTACAGCTCCCAAAGTGTGGTCATAGCCTTGGGGATGAAGGGACTAGAGCAGCAGAGAAGTAACTTCTCCAAGCCCCACCAACAGGGTAGACCCATCCGTGAATGATGTACCCTCTCGAAGACCACAAAAGATGCTGGAATGGTCTAAGAAGCAAACGATCGAGTCCCTCACCTTTTGCCGTGACTGTGCCGATGGTCACGCATCTTCGCTCTCCTTGGGAGCAACGGGTCGCGCGCAGGCAATTCCAATTCGAGGCCTCGTTTTCACATTGGAAGCAAATCAAGGCGTGAGCTGCAAACCGAGGAGAAAGAGGATGGGACGGAAGAACACATTTTGAATGGGAAATTTCTGGCGGTCCTAACCCTCCGTTGGAAAAGTGTGGATTTCTAGGGATGGGCAGCTGAGGGTAGGAGGTCTCCTGCCTTGGGCAGGGGGTTGGACTAGAAGACCTCCAAGGACCCTTCCAGCCCTACGACGATTCTACAATGTGATATGGACCGGGACAGGAGGCCACCTCAACCCCAAAATCACAGGGGGAGGACTTCCCCTGTCTCAGTCATCATGAGCCATCCCTGCTTCCAGGTGCTGCTAACTAGTAATACCCGGCATCCTCAGCCAACATAGCTGACTACAATGGTGCATGGGAGTTGTAGTCCAAGCACAGAGTGGGGGCCAGGCCTTCACCCCCTTTGCTACAAGTTGCCTGAGACCCTCCAAGTCAATCACTGGTTCACCTAGTTCAGCACTGTTCTATTTACTGACGACACTTGTAAGGAGACAGACATATTTCCGTAGGGGAAGGAATGGCTGATGGAACAGAAGTCAACAGAACAGGTGGGAAGGCCTGGACACCTTCCAGACAAACAAGCAAGTCAACACAGAAATAAATGCTAGCTATGCCGAAGCTAAAGTTCCACGGGTAACGTGCCATGTGTTGAAAGCCTAAAATGCTTTAAAATATACTGTAATAATGTTGCTAAACCCATCACTCCAGGAACATAAGCTTTTTGTGGATTGCAACTCATTTCTTTAAATAAAAACTGGGGTGTGATGTCCAATCCATAGCTTCCTCAGTTGTCGCTGGAAAACCAGAACGCTAGTGCAGCTGGCATCTTTCCTAATTTACATCTAAGAAAAGAGCCTGGCAAAATCCATCCAGCCGTGAGCTTTTAGGACTCTTAAGTTCTTTGCACCAGTACAAGCCTAATGAAGTGGACAGTCTTAATTCAGGAAAGCTAGCAGATTGTATGATTTTTTTTTTTAAAAAAATCAAGATAGCACCTAATCTTGCAAATAACAGATATATCGAGTAACCAGACTATTCCATAATTTTAGTATTGAGTTTATTGACCGTTTTTCATATAATATTTGTTTAATTCTTTTTTAATATTTGTGTACTCACTGTTTTTAGCTTTTAAATATTGTCTTTTAATTGTTGCAAGCCACCTTGGGTCCTTTTAAGGAGAAAGGTGGAGTAAAAATATTTCAGATCAATCAATCAATAATAAATATTTGCCTGGATCCATTTTATCCGGGCCAAGAGACTTGATCTTGTGTTTAAAACAGCCATATTCTGAAATCGTGAAATGGCTCTGGGCTTCACAAGCCTATTACCGTGTCTTACGAGCGCACTGCAGGTTGTGATTTGTAAAGCCGAGCTCCTGAGCATGCACAGAATTCCCTGGAACTTGAGCACAATAATAGGTTAAAATCATACCAACATCTGCAACATAACAGGGGGAGCATTTGTCTAATCACAGTCAAGAGCGACCACTTCCACTCTTTGAAGTGGCCGTGGTTCAAAGCCAGGCTGATTCTTTCGAGGTTCAAACAAGCTTACCTTCTCTGGATCTTCCTTACTAGCACTGTTGTTGTTGCTAAAATCAACTTTTAAAAAATACCTTTATCAACCCAGAATGAAATCAATGCCTAAAGGAGTTAATTTCGAGCTCGGATCCTGCTTAATTGGAAGTACAGTAGATTCACCAAGACCAACGTCCATGTAAACATGGATGGACCTCTTGCTTTGAAAAGGAGGGTCATGCTGTTTGGTTTTCTCAACTGCACTTCTGTTTCTAAGCTCTTGGTTTCCCTTGGGCTTCCATGAGGAGACGCGGGAGACGATTCTTACCTATCTGCACGCACAAGGCAAGGGCACCCAAGAAGCAGAGGAGAAAAGAGGCCGTCTTCATAGCGGGTTCCCTGCTTCTTCTCAACGAGCCAAGGAAACCTTTGACAAGTTCTTTGACAAGCCTGAATCCCAGTTGGAAGAAATTGTGGAATATCTGGATGTCACAAGCAGGAGGGTGTGAGCTGCTTGGAAGGATTTCATAGTGTAGGAGTCGGTGTGGAAGGTGGAACAGCCTACGGAAGAACCAAGGATGGGGTGACCAAGATTCACAAAATACGTGCGGCTCTTGGGCCTTGGCGGTGGATTTTTTATTTTTATTTTTTAGGATTAAAATGGGCGAAAGGAGTCCCTCAAGGCATTTCCTGGAACGCTTGTGAAGATGGTGGAATGATCGTCGTAGACTGGGAGACTTACACCTCCATCCATCGCTTGGACCTACCACACCTACAATTCTCACAACGGCCACCTGTCACGGTCCTTAAAAAGTAATTTTTTCCAAGCACTGCTGAAATCACAGCTCAGTCCTGCGGCTTTTTAGGGAACATGAGAGAGCCGTTGCCTTCTCTCTTTTCATCTACCTTGTCCAGACTGTTGTGAGGAAGAAGCACGAGCAATCGAGGTCATGGCTGAGGAGCTGAGTTATCGGAAAGGCAGCTGAGATGATACACAGGGAGATCATCTATTATGAGACTCGGGCTGAGAGTAGACCCATTCGAACCAAAGGCTGGATGTAAATCCTCCCAAGTTAATGGATTGACTCAATTTGGAACTTGGTGGTTAGGGTTGAGGGGTGGGATGCAGATATTTTTAAATAAATAAACAAATAAGAATAAAAACATGAACCAGGGTTGATCTAAAACAAGAGAGGTAGGTGTGTGTGTGTGTGTGTGTGTGNNNNTGTGTGTGTGTGTGTGTGTGTGAGAGAGAGAGAGAGAGAGAGAGAGAGAGAGAGAGAGAGAGAAGAAGAAGAAGAAGGAGAAGGTTGCAAGATCAGGTGGAGAGTAGTTCAAATGCTGTGATAGGTCCCACCGTTCCATTCTTTCCGAAACATGGAATAAAAAATGGCCAACCATTCCTGTCCTGACTCAAAGCATCCACATTTTTTTTGGCGATAATGAGCTTGCTTCAAAACCAGAAGCAAGTGGAAGTGAAACCACTGGAAAGGACTAGTGCCAATGGGTTTCGCCTTTCCAAAGTCCAGGCAAGGGGAGCACACGTAGACGTTGCCTGCCCTCACAGCCCCAAATCATGAGGGCATGATGTTGTGGGAGAAAAGGCAGGATATCACTCAATGAAAGAAAATGGGGGACACCTTCTAGCTGCCCGTTCCTTGTGATGCCAATCCACCTACTGTAGGGTGTTCGCTATCAATGACACGGTTACCGAACCCAACCTCATCAACTGGCAAGCGCTGTGGGTTTGGGACATACGGTAGCCGACTGTGGGATCCCTCCTGGTTGAAGTCAAGCAAGGAAGCAGCAAACTGGCAGGTGGAAATGGGTGGAAATATCAACACAGTTCCTCCCCTGACAAGAATGGGATTTGCCTGGAACCCATAACTTCTCCGTTTTTGATACCACAGCTTTGCATGGGGAGCATGTGGAATTTGCGTTGCCTTAAGTGTTGTTGTGTGCCCTCAAGTTGCCTCCGACGTCTCGCTACCCCATGAAGGAGTGATCTCCGAAACGTCATGTCCTCAACAGTCCTGCTCAGCTCTTACAAACTCAACCCTGCGGCTTCCTTGAGGGAGCCGATCCATCTCGTAGCTGGTCTTGGTCTTCTTGTGGTTCCTAATGGTTAAATATTTATTTTATTTTTATTTCTTAAAATTCTTCTGACCCGATGTGTATCAGTCGCTGCCTGCCTAGGAGAGAGTGGATAAAGCAACTCTGTGTGACATATTTTTTTTATTAAAAAAAAACATCTTCCATCATCTGCCATAGTCACTAGCGGTATGGGCAACACAGACGGAGCCTCCCTGAAGAAAATGAGGGCGGTGAGCACCTCTGGACCACCTCTGGCCAACCTCAGTACTCTGCTGGCCGATCCTTCATTGGATGGTTTCCGGAGGCTGTAAAATCAGACATGACACAGGCTGATAAATCGAAATGGAGCGACAAGCAAGAACATAACTCAGAAATATGACCTTTATATCTCAGCTCTGGATGCAAATATGACCTTTGATTTGCTTTTTAGCTCTTTGTGTCTACACCTCTGGGAGAGGACAGTCAGTCGATGACAGCTGACCCTACTCATTGCCCGGAGTGTGTCAAAATGGCAGAGCCAGAAGGTGGCTGTGTTGACCTTTGGAAGGGAAATGGTGTCCTTGCATCTTTATGGTAATATCATCATATTCTCAATGGGACCGTATCATTGAAGACAAAGAAGATGTCAGGTTTTCTTTTTTTAAGGTACTGTATGGTTAAAGAAGCAACACTCTATACTTGTTTTATTGTAAGTTGATATTTCACAATGACCCTCACTGGCAGGGACATGGAAAAAGGACAGGTTGTGCTTTAACTTGGCGCATGATAATTAAGGTGCATTTGAAGATCAAAGTCCTGGAGCAAAGCTGAGGAACTTTAATTCATGAGAGGTTACATAAGGTTTCATTCCATTGCGGGGTGAGGTGAGGAGGACAGAAGCAAAAAGCGGATGAGATAAAAATAATAGCATATTTTAGCATAAAGGTTTCACTGCCAGTAAGGAAGCTCAAGGAAAAGCATTTCAGCCTGGCAGAAGTGGATAAAATCTTCCCAAGAAACAACTAAATGATGGTATCATATGCGCAAGACGGAACAGGCCAACTCTGATCCCAGGAAGGCCAAATTACGGTCCAGGACTTGATGTGCCTCATGCCTGTCATAATCACTGAGGGCTCTTCCAGATGGAACCTTGGTTCGTAACATACTGAATTCTATTCTGAATTTGTTGGTATTTTTCCTGCCATCCACACGATGCTCTTCCTATCCCACCAAGTCCCATGAGTTTCCATGCTCTTTTTTGACCTTCCCGCAAACATGGTTTATTTTTCATCTGGGTTTGTTCCGGGGTCAGAGTTTAAAGTCTGGGTGCTTCCACCACTGAAGTTCATGACCATAGTCAGAGCCTTCAAGATGGAAGCTTTCATTTAGCACTAGAACATCATACCTACCTACCTACCTACCTACCTACCTACCTACCTACCTACCTACCTACCTACCTACCTACCTACCTACCTACGTACGTACGTACGTACGTACGTACGTACGTACATACATACATACATACATACATACATACATACATACATAAAGCAAACAAACAAGCAAGCTCTGGAAGAGAAATTCTGGCAAGATGATTCTTTAAACTTTAAACTGCTAAATAATTTTTCCCAACGAGGTATGGTCAGCCTCCTGCCTAGCCCATAATTGCACCTTTTAAATTTTCTTTTCTGCTTTCTCCCATTTCTCCTTGTTTTCCTCTTTTAATGGCCCCCCAATCTATGGGGGGGCATTAAAATAACAAAAATCAAATGAAAAAAGAACAAAACAACAGCGCATATATGCATGACAATGTAGACATGCAATTATTTTTCAGCTTCTCCTTAATCTCTTCCCAAAAGGTAAGGTAGAAAAGTATGGGGGAGGAGTATTATAATGCAATCCCTGCTTCTATTAAATCTGGACAATTGTCCTGCATGCATTATAGTTGTTTAGTCCTTTAGTCATGTCCAACTCTTCGTGACCCCATGGACCAGAGCACGCCAGGACCTCCTGTCTTCCACTGCCTCCCAGAGTTGGGTCAAAGTCATGTCGGTCACTTTGATGACCCTGTCCAGCCATCTCGTCCTCTGTCGTCCCCTTCTCCTCTTGCCTTCCCTCTTTCCTAACATCAGGGTCTTTTCCAGGGAGTCCTCTCTTCTCACGAGATGGCCAAAGTACTGGAGCCTCAGCTTCAGGATCTGTCCTTCCAGTGAGCACTCAGGGTTGATTTCCTTTAGAATTGATAGGTTTGTTCTCCTTGCAGTCCAGGGGCCTCTCAAGAGCCTCCTCCAGCACCACAATTCAAAAGCATCAATTCTTCAGCGGTCAACCTTCTTGATGGTCCAGCTCTCACTTCCATACATCGCTACTGGAAAAACCATAGCTTTGACTATGCAGATCTTTGTCAGCAAGGTGATGTCTCTGCTTTTTAAGATGCTGTCAGCAGGTGGACACATGCGCACCCCTCCAACCTGACTTTATTATTTTCTTTGGGTGCATCCATTTAACATGCAGATAATTGATCTGGAGCCAATTTGGTCTCAAACCACTGAAACTGTGTTACACTCAGAGCTTGGAAAAATGTTACTGTACAGTACTTTCTTGGACTGTAACTCCCAGAATGTCTTGGCCAAGGACCTTGAATGCTGATGGATCCTGAACATAACTTTTCCAAGGTATAGTTAGGCTATATTGGAGTTTCCATTGCTCTAGCCTAGTATGGCCCCCTTCCGCTCTGACGAGGAGCAGCGCTGTCCAGTCTTCAAGCAAACATCGTTCCTCGCCTTGTATCCAGAACCCTTCTCAGAAAAGAAGGTGGGACGCAGCATGGAAAGGTGTGCAAGGTAACTCTTCCCTGCAATGCTGTGTGAAACAAGTGCCCAAGACAACAGAGGTGTGCGGCGGTGTGGGTGGCTTTATGGTATGCCCACACACTGACACTGCCAGATGTAGAAAGCTCATCCAGTCCACTTTAGCAAAGGGTGTGATTCCCCCAAGCACTGATACTGCCAGCGAGATGTAGAAAGCTCATCCAGGCCACTTTAGCAAAGGGTGTGATTCCCCCAAAGATAAGAGGCAGAGCACAAAAGTGCATCCAAAACCAGCGATCCATTATTTTTCATTTAACCTGGGATGTGACTACACTGGCACCCTGAAGGATTCGGCTTTGCTTCAAAGCCTGCATTGCATTTAGAATAATAAGTGCTTTTGAAATCAGGAGGTAAAAATATTTAAAATAAAATAAAATCTAGTGCTCACACATGTAGTATGGAAATTTTGGGAAGTCCCGTGTTCACACTGGATGCATTAAGCATTC